AACAAGGGAATAGGAATTGGTGTATAGGAACTGGTGGTACTCTGTAATTTGTAGGAAAGGTCTACTCAATTTCCTTAAATGTAACAACTTAAGTGTCTGGACATTTCACTGTGTATTTTTGTGACATGAGCTTTCATTTAAAATGTAGAATCTGCGAGGAAAAGAAAATTCTGAAGGAACCTTCTCTAAACCCAAGTATTAGATTTCCAAAAATATATGCCTGGAAAATAATCCTTTTAGTTCTTACAGGTATCCTCCCATGACCAGATCCAGTGTCTTAATATAAAACCAATGAATGTTTTTGAATGTGTAGTCTTCTGAACCCACCAAGAGTATGACAGTAAGCTTTTTCTCCTCCTACACTTCACTTTTATCCTCTGCTAACAATGGCCACGGAGACCAACTACTGAGGATGCTTGTAGTCTTTAGTAGGTGTTTAATCCTTATGTGCTGTAGTGAAACAGATTATCCTTTTGCAAAGACCATGAAATGAACTTCCTGATATCCCCAGTAGACAGAACAATGCCAGTAGAAATCCAGAAGTGAAACACTATGGACTTCTGCTAGATTGTATCGTGACTGGATAGTTTCACTCAGGACATTGAATTTTCTTACCTGGTTTTGAGTCAGAGCCATTTTGTATGTGGGCTGTTTGTTTTGTTTTGTTTTGTTTTCACTGGAAGTGTTTGCTTCCATAAAACTTATGGAGGTCTTCCAGGTATCTAAAACTCAGTAAGTGAAAGAGTAGCAGTCTGCAGTGTCATCTCCACTCCTGCCTCAGGGTGAACTCAGTGAAGTTTAAGGCAGCTGGATCTGAAGAAGGAATGAAAGATGACATCAGTTGCTGGTTTGTTTTTTTTTCCTCTGTAAAGGAAAATACACTTTTCTTAGGACAGTCTTATGGGCTTCTTAAATGACTTGATCTTCAGTCTGAGATGATCTAGGATGGCATCATGGTGACCTACCTATAAACTTCAGCAGAACTTCACCAGGTGCCTGAATATTGGGTGGAAAGTACATAGCACAGCTGGCCTGCAGAAAGTAAAGCAGTGATTTTAATCAATTTTTTAGAACACCAATTTATGGATTTCGCTGTTAGGAAGTTATGCAGGGGAGGAGTTCCAGAGATAATAGAAAGAACTGCTGTAATAGAACATACAAACTCCCTGCACCCAACTTAAACTCTCAGATTTCTTCTGGCTACTTTGTTTGGGCAGTGCCTCCTTTTGGGTAGGAAACTGTATACCGAATTGCTGCAACATGCGCTTGAGGATTTTTTCCCCAGCATGACATCAGCCTACGGGCTTCATTTTACCTGCTGAACTGTTATTAGATCAGGTGTTACACTGATTCTGGAACATATACTAAGCACTGGTTATATGCCATTAAGTACTGAGAGGTAATGAAGAAATCTAAAAACTGGACAGTAACCATAAGGTTAGAGTTACTCACCCTTATGCATTTAATTAGAAATATCAGCCTGAGTTAAGGAGGGGTAACTTTTATCACATTTAAAGAGTGCCATAATACGAAATTAACAGAGCTAGATTTTTACTAATTGTATTTATCTAAAATATTGGGAAATCCTGTAACTCAGAAATATTTTACTTACAGAAACTGACTCGACTTCATAGTAAAACTTGGAATTTTATGTCAAGGTTCCACTTGTACAAGTTGCAAATTCCTGAAAAACACATTTTTATAATAAAAGTGCTAATTAAATCCCTAGTTTTAGTTGTACTATTAAACATCCATCTAAGACAATGAAGAATATGAAATGAAGAGCATTAGGCTTTTTCTTATAGGATATGCTGTGCTTTAAAATGTATTTTATTGATCCTAAAATTACAAGATCAATTACTGACATTTTCTTGAGGATCAATCTCAGATTAAATGCCAAAATGAAGAAAAGGTTTTCATATGTACTATGTCCAAAAGCAGAAACAGATTGCCATACTCATGTGAACATTCAGAAACCTTTTCTGATGATTAAACAGTATGTCTGAAATATATCTAAGTTATACCAGCCACCATAGCGCTTTTTGGTGAACCAAAGAAGTCCTACAGTGAAATCAAACTTTTGAGTAAAATCTGTACTACTTTAATCCAATTTCCTTCTAACATCCTTTTTTCCCCTGTTTTTAGATTCATATATATTCTGTCTGTCAATTACAATGCAAAGTCTAAGTAACAGATTTAAGCAAGAATGTTTGAGTGTGAAAATAATTAATGTGAATTGCTAATAGGCTGGTGGGAATATGTTTTTCCACATGAAGGGAGCATGTTGCATCAAAGACTGCAGACTTGATTTTCCACCATTTCATCCCTTGACTAACTGCTATTAACCTGCAAAAGGGATGGGAAAGCTGGGAACAGTCTGCTAGCAAATCAGTACTCTGCTGTGACCAAAACAGCAGTATTGCATCTGTTCTTTCCTCTCTTTGAACAGATGCAAGTAATGCTCTAAGCAACCTGAAACAACAAGCTACGGGGCAAAAAGCAGTCTTGTTATTTCAGCTAAGCAAAATGGAGATTTGATAGCACATACACGATGTTTCTCTTCCATGCTCCCTGGTTTTGCTACTTAAGGCATAAGCCTTGCAGTTAACATCGTCCAGTGACATGAATCGATCAGGCTTGCATTTGCCTTGACAATCATGTGATGGGGCATGGAAAATAAAGGGACAGTATGAATCCTCTCAGGCAAGTAACCTAAGCTCCAATGCTTCCCACACCAGCCTATTTTCAATTTTGTCACAGTACGGTTTATACACTCTAACATTACTGCTCAGAAGACAGAGTGATGATTCAGGTTTACTAAAAATGGCTTCACAATACTGCAATTATGCCTGTGAAGCTTCATCTTGAATCATGTATTTATAAGTTTCTTCTCACTGAGAAATAAATACGTGTGGTGTTTTATCAGAAAAGTTAGTCACCAGATACCTGAAACACTTGTATACCATCTTTAAGAAAACACGGCTTGTTCAGTCAATTTGCTGTCAATTTATATTTTTTTCCATTTTTTTTTTTAAATATGTATAATACCATAGGTGACCTCCCTTAATACTGCTGTCCATACAAATAAATAACTGAGAACTAATATGCCACTGCTGCATCCTGTCATGCCAGAAGATCCACATTACTTTAAAGATTATTTAGAGTAGGTACCCAGACCCACTGAAGTCAATGAAATGATGCCTACTGGCTTCTGTGGGAGTCCAACTTGAACATTATTCTGGCAATCTGTCCACCACTAAATTAAACTACTATGGGACATAAAAGCCCAAATGAAGAAAAAGCAGAAATTCAGGAACTAAAAGTGAACCACAAATAAATGTCCTAATTCAATAGCATTCTGAGCAGACTTAAATAAAACACACACTTACACACGTGCATACACAACCAAATATATATAAAAAAAAAAGTTATGAATTCAACAATCTTAAAAATTTATAGTTTAAAATTGTTTACATTTAAACAATTGAGTATAATAGGTAGCTTTCTTGACTTTCCATTTATTTCCCTGAGCACTGATCTTTGGAACATCTGGAGTTTCAGAACTGTCTAGTTCATGATTCCTAAAATAGTTATCTTAAGTAAAACACTGTCTTTTTATGTCAAAAATCAATTCCTTAAGTAAAATCAAGATACAGCTTCCATGAACTACAATGTATATAGCCAATCTTCTTAAAGCCAACAACTATTATTACACTTCTGTGTCTGTATTTAGGCACCCAGCTGGCCTGTTTTCCAAAATCACCCTGCAGCCTAGCAGTTTCCGTTAAACTCAGTACAGGGTACTATGCTGTCTCATTAACTCTTCTAATTGGAGACTTACATGAGAACTTTTGCCTCCTTGCTTTAGTTATTCATTTTGCAAATTCCCCTGTACGAACAATACAGTATGTTACAGGATTAGTTTTGTGCCTAAGTTAGTATTAAAGGTAAAGTCTTCAGGACTTCCCAGTCACTTCCCTGTAAAGGGTTAAGGAAATGCATCTGCAGAGAGCCAGCATAAAACCTATCTTCAGTACTAAAATGGGACTTAGCTAGGGCATATGTTTTAGGCTGACGTTCTGCACAAGAAATCTGTTGGCCAGAAAGAGCTGTGTCTTAAATTTCTGCTATTTAGAACTACTTGGCAAATTGGCAATGCTGCTTTTAACTGTCTCCTCTAGATTAGAGCTTTGACTGTGAGCTTCACAGACTTCACTTTGCAATTTTAAGACTTCTCAGGCATTCTGCATTTTAGATTATACAGAGTGTGCAAGTCAAAACACTTTAGAAAACAAAACAGTGCAGAGATTTTAATATTTTTGGGCTAAACTCTCCTCTATCCAATTCTAAGGCTGTAAATTACGTCAGTCTCTCTGAAGCTAAAAATTTAAATATGATTTTCCGTCGACCACAGAAACACACTGTAACTTTTCACTCCCTTCACTCTCTCTGCCTCTGGATAACCGATACACTGGCATTATGCAGCAGGCTCCAAACACAAGATTAACAGAAAGGGAAAGGTTATTTTGTAATACTTCATTTCAGTATGCTGTAATTGGGGGAGGGGATACTGAACCAAAAGCAACCTGAAAATTTGCTTTTGGTTCTTTGTGGAACATGAAATTAAGCCTTTACTTATTCTTGAATGATGTGATGAAATATGCCGTATCTCTTCCCTTTAAGTAGCACTTTCCTGCACTAGCAGTTACTGGCATTCCACAGCAGAATCCAAAAGGATTTGGCAGTTTTTCCCTTTGCATATAGCTTTTTCAATACCTCTAAACTAAGAAAGAGTTAACAGCATACCATCCCATTATTTCACCATCCCACCCTCCCTTTCAGGAATTAAAGTGACCTTTAAAAAAAAAAAAAAAAAAAAAGAGGAAGAAAATACTTGCTTTGTTATAGGAGTATTAAATATTGTTTTGAAACTCATTTGGAAGATGTCTTCCAAGATGGTTTATCTTTTTGTTGTTGTTGTTGTTTTTGTTGTTGTTGGGTTGTTGTTTTTTTTTCCTTTAAAACTGACCATTGCACCAGTTAAGGCTGTTTTACAATACATATATTTCAAATAAAACTTTTAATATTCAAGCTTACCAGATTGATGAATTGTAACAGGTAAAATGGAACTCATTACAAGGTAAACCATGTAGTTGTACAAAATAGAATTAAACCCTTCACCTGTGTAAAACAAAAATAAATCCTGCCTTGCATTAAAAACACAGAACCTGTTTACAAAAAGGAATGTGTATGACATTTGGACTTCCTTTTAACTGCCATATCCTAGCAACATCTCAGTTGTGTTAGTAAAGGAACTAATCATCGATTTTAAACTGCAGTGAATTTACCAAACATTTTCACTATAGACTTCTGAAAGCTTTTACAGTAAGAAGTTATCAACAAAAGCAGGCACATTAGTGTACAAAAACGTTGATTTTTTTTTCCTGTTTCTTTTTCAAAGTGCAGGTTTTTCTCAATGTGCATCTTACAAGACCAATGAATGTTTTAACTCACTAAATCTTAAAACAGAACTCAATTCTCCCAAGGAGTAGTGTAAACGTTAAAGATCCCCAATACATCTCTAGTAAACGTGACACAAATGTCTCTGCGTTGTTTAGAAATTTAGCTCTTTTGAGAGGTAAAGAAGCTTCATGACGCCTTTTCCTTACACTGGCTGGTTATCATAAATGGGTAACTCTGGACTGCTAAAGCTGGAGACTGATGAATCACTTTGAAGGGAACTAAACTTGGCTACGGAGGAGAGGCAGCGGGAGGAACCAACCCTTCGGCGCTTCTTGCGCAGCCTTCGGAAAATTCAGCCGCCGGCGGACGGAGGGGCCGGTGGGACGGAGTGGGGAGAAGGAAGAGGACAGCAGGGAGGGAGAGGGGAGAAGCTTCCGCAGAGCCAGAGGCACGGCGGCACCTGCCCAAGACCCGTCCCGTCGGTGGTGCGATGGCCGTCCCCGGGCCCCGCGTCTGAGAGGAGCTGGCGGACCCGCTCCCGGTCCGTTCCGCCGCCCGGTCCCGCTCCGGCTGCCACAGAGAGCCAAGGGCCGGGCTGGCAGTAAGGGGTCCCGCCGGCGGTGGGCGCTAGGTGCCGTGGGCGCAGGGCTCCCTGGGGTAGATCTCCTCGTAGGCCGGCGGCTGCTCGCTGGGCAGCGGGTAGCAGTAGGGGTAGGAGGCGTTGAGCTCGGGGTCCATGGGCGAGTAGCCAGGAAGCTCGACGGAGGGATGCCCGCCGCAGTGCACCTCCACGCCAGCCTCGTCGAAGACGTGGAAGACGCCCACGTTGATGTACGACACGGCCTGGAAGGGGCAATCCCCGGGGCTGAGCTCGGGCTCGCCGCCGGAGAAGAGGGAGCCCTGGCTGTGGCGGGGCGCCCGCCGCCCGCCACCGCCACCGCCGCCGCCGCAGGGGCCGCCCCGCCGCCGCCGCCGCCTCCCGCTTGCCGCCGCTGCAGCCGCTGGGGCCGCTCGACGCCGGCGCCTCCGGCGTCCGCGCTGCTGCGAGGCCTTATAGTTTTTGACGAGGAGCAGGTTAAGCAGGCCCAGGAGGCACTCCAGCGCGTTGAAGACGGTGGAGAGCACCAAGCCTTGCTGGTAGTCCCGGAGCTTCTGGCAGCGGAGCGCCACGGCAGAGCCGTCGGGGACCGCTGGGCCGCTCCGCGGGCGGGCCGCGCCGCCGGTCTGAAGCAGACAGTAGTGCGAGTACTTCCTCTCCACCAGCGACACGGTGTCGCCGTCGATGACGGCGCCGGCGAAGGCGCTCAGCACGCCCAGCATGAACACCAGCACCCCCAGCAGCAGGAAGTTCTGCCGCCCCCCGGGCGGCGCCTTCTCCACTGGCCCCGACGGTGCGGCCGCCGCCTCCCCCCCGCCGGTGCCGCCTCCCGCCGGGTCCGGGTCCCCGGCCGGGTCCGAGGCCAGAGCCGGGGTCAGGGCCGGTGCAGCGGCTGGGGCTGGAGCCGGTGCCGCGGGTGCCTCGTCGGGCGGACGACAGCAGAGCAGCGCAGCGGCGAGCAGCGAGAGTCCGGCGGCCAGCAGCAGCCCCGAGTAGAAGGCTCCGGCGGCGGTGCCCAGGCGGAAGGGCTCGCCCTTCAGCTCGGAGCCCAGCGAGAAACACTTGAGGCCCACGGCGGCGGCGCTGAGGGCGCAGGCGAGCAGGAGGCAGCTGGAGAGCGCGGCGCAGGCTCCCCGCACGCTCCACTTCATCCTCCGCGCCGCCGCCGCCGCCGCCTCCCCGCCGCCCGCCTCATCCTCCTTCCGCGGCCCCCCCTGGCCCCGCAGCGGCGGCGGCGGCGCGGCGCGGCGCGGCCATGCGACCGCGGCGCTCCCCGACGGGGCGGCTGGGCTCCGCTTCGCTCCGCACGGCAGGCAGCCGCCGGCCGCAGTGAGCCGGGCGCGGCGAGCTCACACGCTCCCCCCACCGCCTCCCGGCCGCCGCCGCCTCCTCGTCCCCGCCCGCCCTCTCTTATCGCGGCGGCTGCGGGGAGGCGATTAATTATGGATGGAGCCGCGGCGGGCGGGGGGACGCCGGGGAAAGGGGGCGGCCCGTCGGCCCAACACGGCGACCCCCAGCTCAGCCCATCTCGTCCGGGGGGGGGGGCGCAAGGCCGAAATCCCAGCCCCTCCCCTCGTGGCACGGGGGTACCGCAGGCCGCCCCCGGGACGGCTCCCCTCCGGGAAGCACAGGCAGTTCGGACGGGGGGTGGCAGGGTCTGCAACCTCCCACTTGTTTCGATGCGGAATGCTGCCTCCCGCCCTCCCTCCCTCCATCTCTCTCCGATCAATCAATTTACTTGTCTATTTATTTATTTAGCTCTTGCTCTTGCTAGAGCCATCGTGCATCCCTGTCAGTGTGCTGCGATGTGCCGGCGGCTCTGATGCAGCGGAGCAAGCCCTCCGCGTCTGCGGCGGACCCCTCACCCCTCTCTGCTGTGTGCTCTGTCGGCGAGCCCCGTTGCGGAGCTTCCGCCAGGGCCACTCACTCCCCTCTGCGGGCAGCGGGGGTCGGCGGCAACTGCGCCCCCGGAACCTCCCATCCGGGAGCGCCTGCAGCCCGGGCAGCGGGGAGCCGGTGATACAGGGGTGGTTGCAACCTGGCACGGCACGGGGTGGCCAGTGGCTCAGCGGCGAGTACTCGGGATGGCTTCCCGAAGCAGCGATGGGAACCTCAGCCTAGGAAAGGAACAGCAGGATCCGTGACTGTGCCGGCAACCGCGATCCAGGCAGGGAGGGGGACCAGGGGAGGCTCTTCCTCTCCTTTTCCTTTTCCTTCCGGGAAGCTGGAGCCTCAAGCTCCCCCATTTTTCCCTTCTGCCGTGCGCACGCCAGCCTTGCTTGGTATTTTTAGCCGGCGCCGCTGATTAGCATTCAGGGGAGCAAGCAAGGAAGACGTTTTCCAAATCGTTTTCTCTTCCCTTTCTCACAGGGCGCCCCTATCTGTTGGCGGCAGGTGGTGTGTGTGGGAAGTGAGCTGGTGGTTGGCTTTCTCCAGGGATGTGACCCTGCTCCCACGGACTTGTGAGGCAGGCCCGTCAGCACCCCCCTCACCAGCCCCAGCACTGCTGCAGTCCTGGGCTGGGCTGGGCTTGGCAGCTGAGCACGGGTCTTTGCTGTAAGAGAGAGAGGTTCTCTGGTCCCTGTATGGGACAGTGACCCTTGTTGGGAAGCTATATACTGCCTGGAGTCCAGCCCTCCCCAGTGACACTGTCTAGAAGCATCAGTGGCTCCAACAGTGCCATCCTGCCCCTTGAGGCCACACGGAAAAGGGAATTATGCCCCCTGCCACATTTCACAAGGTGTCCATGGAGCACTTTGTGTGACGAAAGCCGGTAATCCTGGTAGTCCAGAGCTGGCTGACCAGTGGCTACCTGTTTGCTTTGCCAGGCTGTAGCTATGGCTGTGAGCTAGGGCCCTCCAGGAGGGAATGGATGGGCATTTCACCCACAGTCATCATCAGCTCTTCCTGTTACCAAGCTGGCCCTGGCTGGTGAGGACTGGGGCATGCACATCTGCTGATGTGGCCTTGTGAAGGTTTTGCTGTAGGATCTGAAATTTTGTCTTTGCGTGTGCTGAGTGCTTAGACTGGTGAGGTATATCTTCAAAAGAGCTTGACCTGTGTCCTTATGATTCCTAAGAAGTAAATGCATAGAGGGCAAGTAAATGCGTAGAGGGCACACAGCATTTTACAGAATACAGCACCCATCTCCTGAAGTCTCTGTTTGGCTCTAAATGCTGCCTTGCAAGTACATGTGAACTCTCAATCCAGCTGCCAATCCAGAGGGCCCTGAAAGACAAGACTGTGTGTGGGGATGTGGACAGAAATAAGGTGTAGCTAGTGGGAGGTAAACACTTGATGAACTAATTATATATAGAATATGCAAAGTGACACTGAAACTGACACACAATGTAAACTTACTTGCATGCAAAATGTATTGTGATTTGATTCATTTCGTTGTTACTATCAAGAGGTTAATCCTTCAAAAAGGATTAACTGTTTATTATGGATAGTTAGAACATTAACTTAGCAGTGAACAAACACAAAATTAAGAAGATATCTTAGCCTTTATACATCAAATTATTTATCAGCCTTTAACTGCCAGTGGTTAGGTTAGGAAAAGCAAACCTTCCACTGGGGGCAGATTGTTCCTTTATTGTAGAGTTTCTTGATGTTTCTTTGCTGTTTCCTGTTTTGGCAGCTGCTGTAAGGCAAGGTAAGGCTTCTCAGGCATGGTCCTTCACATGCTCCTACATCTGTCTCATTTCTTCAGTCATCCTCATCTTGAATGTCATCTTCTAAGGAAAGGACCCTCCTTTCCCTGTATTTGTGACGGGATACCACCCCTGAAAGCTGTGCGTTGTGAGAGGCCAGGCTGCTGCACAAGTTTGTAATTAGTAATTCTGCTGCACCTTTTTATTTCTCCTGTCAAGCAATTTGCTACTTTTAATCTCCAGATCTTACCTGTTTCTCCCCAGAACTACTCCCTGGCCTCAAAGCACCACGTTCAAAATGCAAGGCTGGAAGTTTCACTATCAACATGCTTCCCCACGTGTTCTTTATTACTTAGAAACCTCCCATGTTGCAGTGTCACTCTGAATTAGCACAACTTTTCATATGGTTATTTACAGCTTTGCACTCTGGCATATTTTCAGTAAGAGGATACTTTATAAACACACATGTACACATGCACGCAGAGTATGATATTAGCACACATCTTGCATGTTGATTTTCAACTGTCTTTGGATAAAATGTTTTTACATTTAACAGAAGACTATAAAATACCCTATCACATCTTTCTCTTACATGAATGATTAATTGATGATTGAATTGGAAATACTGTGAAACATGACTAACATATCATCCTAATAAAGGTCACTTGAGGGTTCTCTGGATCCCAATGTAAACTGCAGATCAACTCTGCCCTAGCTGACAGCCGCTCATGCTCATAGCTGATACATGTATGTCTCATTGTTCAGCCAGTTCTGCCTGCTGAAAAAAAGCATGTCCATGTGCAACAAAAGATGACAGAACTTCAAGCCACTTGGCCACATTAGTCCCTCACTTAAATCAATCACTGCAGGTGAATTGGTCTGTCAGCCTCAGTTAATAGCAAAGCCAGAACCTGATGGAACTGTGCTGCTGACTATGAAGTATAGTAGATGCCATGTGTTTTGGGTCTCTGGGTGTTAGTTTTACCTTCAAGCTTTGTTAGACAGATTTTCCTTTTTAAATGCCCAAATCAAAATTTATTGAAGTTGTTTTCAAGGGATATTTTCGTGGACTTTGGAAGAGGTGTATAAAGTTTTGTGGGACAACACCAGCCTAGGACATGTGTTCCTAGCACTCTCCTCATGACCATAGAGTGACCTTAGTCATTTATGGACAAGTCCTGCCTCCAGAGAAGGCTAGGGAGCTTTGGTCCAAGGTTTTGTTTAGGTCATAGGGAGTTGAGTGGCTATGCTTTCTGGGTGCTAATTGAAAGTGGGCACTGTCATGACCAGTGATACAAGCTTGCTTTGCTCAGTGTGTACGGAGCTGGATGGTTGCAGCAAGGTGCAGATCGCCCTCAACTTTTTGTGGTGAGTCAGTGGCACAAGAGACGACAGAACTATTAATTATTGCTCTCCAGGCTGGAAGATAAATTGTGTGTTTTAAAAGAGATGGAGATCTTCAGCTTATGCCACCAAAGTGCAAAGCGTTGTATTATTTTATTGTCTGCCTCTCCTCCCACGCTGAGTTTATGTTAAGATTACTTCAGTGCCAATTTGATAAATGGTAGTCATAGCTTTCACTATTCAGACATGATGGCTGTGTAACCTCCCATAACCTACTCTGTTGCGTACTACTGCAGCTTTTGTTTGTTTTTATAGGGGACATTATGGACTATAAAATGTTTACAAAAATGGTTTTACACATGGTTATGAATAATACATTAGAAATTTGAAACTCTGAAGGTAGAACCTATCACGTTTCTTTCCGGTCTTTCTTTTTCATTTGCAAGGTTCACAAGATGTTTCTGTGTGTTCAAGGCCTCCTGTTCTCCTACTTTCACAGTGGTTTATGTGGAAGACTCATCTCTGCAGGGAATCTATGGAAAGTACTTTAGGGAACACATGTTAGGATAGGCACTACATCAGGCTAGAAGCCTGGAGCAAACTAGTGGCCAGACACTGGTGAAAACCCAAAGGTCTAAAGATGCTGCTCCAATGAGTAATATCTAAAATAGGAAGCAGAGAGGCTGAAAAGAATATGTAAGGAGCTAAGAAAGAAAAAGCAAACGCTATGGTAGAAGCTGGACAGGTGTAGCTACCTTGGCTGCTGTTAGCCTATGAGTTTTGGATTCAAGGAAGAAGAGTTTGAGAAATTGGGGTATTGACACAACAGGTAATTTACATTATGAGATCATGGGATAATTTAGGTTGGACAGGACCTTAAGGGGTGTCTAGTCTTACCTACTCAAAGCAGGGGCATCTCTTGGGTCAAATAAGGTTGCTTGTGGCCTTGTTCAGCCCATGTATCTAGTATCAGCAGCATTTGCCAGTGTTTGGTCAATCTGAGCAGTTCAACCAGTTTTCTAGAACTTGTTTGTTTCTTGGCTCTACTCCCTTTCTCTGGCTTCAGGTGATGTTAGGGCATCTGAGAAGCCCTTGTGGAGAGTCTTTATTACCCTTTTAGTTTAAATGTGCCAGGATATGAATGAAAAAGAGTGGCTTCCTTGTGCAGTAGGATTTAAT